ATAGATTGACACAGTGGCTCCAATACCAGGCTTAGACATAAGAACTATTGTGAGGAAGGCAGGGGACTGAGTAGTTTTCATCCCATTTTACATAAGAATTGCTTTGAGTCAAAATGCAATGGCATATAACAACAACGTTTTAGTCCTAAGAATCGTGGGTGGCACAAGGCTTGTTAAGTTCTTGACTGCTTAACTGAAAAGGAAGCCACCCAGAACCTCCTTGGAAGAAGTAATTAGTGATCTGCTTCCAAAGGTCACAGCTATGAAAATTCTATGGCGTACAATTCAACTCTGCATATGAAGTTATTGTGGGTTAAAATCAATTCAATGGCAACTGGTTTGTTATTTGATTCCTAGATCTATAACAATCAGTCATCAATCTTAAGTAGAACGATTCCTACTGACCCATGCCAAGTAGATAGTCTTGGAAGCACTGATCAGGCCAGAAATCTTTTTCTCTGAATTTCAGGATTAAGAAAACTTCTTCTATAATGGACCAGATCGTAAATATTTTGGGCTTGAGGATCATACATCTCTATTACAATTATTCTATTGCTGCAATGCCAAAGCAACCATAGACAATAACCAACCAGAGTGCCTTTATTTCAAAAATAACTTGATTTATAAAAACAGACAAGCTGTATTTGTTTCAGTGGTTATAATATGCCACTCCCCACTCTAGGAAAAAACATTGAATAAGATATGTCACTTCACCATTCATGAAGTTTTAAGAAAGAGAACCCAAATCATTGAGAAAGATGGCAGTTTAATAATGGGTTCTATTTTTTGGATCACAGAAATTTGCAGTCTATCTCAGAAATTCCTCCAAACCACCTCCAACTTTGTCCATTTGTGCTTCCCCTGTGCCACAATGCACACCCTTCTTACTCATTTCCCTCCGCATAGCCCCTATTACTTAATACTATTTTCTCTCATTTTTATTGGCTCTTGATAGGTTATGACTAGGTTATGACTAGAGAGCTCTCATGGCAGAGTGGATTACATGTTGGGCTGCTAACCACAAGGTTGGTGGTCCAAATCCATAAGGAGCTCCATGGGGGAAATGATGAGGCTTTCTGTTATAAAGAGTATAACCCCCCCCACCCACCCCCAGGACCAGTGGAGAGAGTGGTGATAGCGGGAGGGTGGAGGAAGGGAGAGGGAGAAAGGGGGAACAGACGACAAGGTCTACATATGGCCTCCTCCCTGGGGAACGGGCAGCGGAGAAATGGGTGAGGGAGACGTTGGATGGGGTAAGATATGATAAAATAATAATAATTTATAAATTTTGGGGGGTGGGTGGAGCAGGGAGGGAGGGGAAAAATGAGCTGACACCAAGGGCTCAAGTGGAAAGCGGGTGTTGTAAGAATGATGAAGTCAACACATGTACCAATGTGTTGGACACAAATGTACAGATTTTGATGAGTTGTATGAGCCCCTAATAAAATGTTTATTTAATTTAAACAAAGATTTCTAGCTTCAGAAACCCGCAAGGGCAGTTTTGCTCTGTCCTGTGGGGGCATTATGAGCCACGGCAGACTTGATGGCAGAGGTGATTACTTGTAGCATTTGTTCTTGATTCCAAACAACAAGACCAAAGGGGGGAAATCATGAGAGAGCGAGA